AAAACAAACCACATATCACGATGGATTGAAAACAGTGAAGAGAGCAATAAGCTTAACTGTAATAAAGCAAAACTCACAAAAAATCAAAGTCGAAGATGAGATTAAACAAAAGCATATTAGGCCACATTCGGCTTCTAATATGATTTCCTAAATCCTCAGAATACAGATTTAGTAAATTCAAATGGCGTTACATCTTTAAAACTGTTTGATAAAATAGATACTAAATTTAATAAGATTCGAGACTAAAGACTCAAACAAAAAAGAAAAAGAAGGCCCGTGAAGATAAGTGATTTAAAGTTCTTAAATCTTGCTTTGTTAGGATGTATTAAATCCTAAAGTTGCTCTTAAACGAAAACGGAATTTAAAAAGATAACAAAATTTATGTGCTTAACAAACTATTTGACAAATCATGCAACCGAAAACCACTAGTCATGAAATCTGCACATCTTATATCGCCTTTAGAAAATCAATCTGCTCTCCAACAGATCCATCCGAAAATAAAGAATCGTAGCAAACCAATAAAATGCACGGATCCAAAAAACAACAAACCTTCTTCCGCTGATCCTGCGGCATCTCAATTCTCGTCCCAGATCTCAGTACCCAAAGCACGCAAAATACTTACTCGTGCACCACTTCAGATTCCCAACCCACAAACCACCCTCCTTCACAAAAAATCTTCACAAATATAAATTAAGATCAATACCAAACGGAGGTGAATCTAAACAGACATCATCCACATTTGCCCCATCTACCTCTGCTCCTAATCACTAGCTCGCTCTCCCTTCCCCCGCTCCTCCAGACCACCGCCGGGAACAAAGAACCAAACCGATCCCACATGCACTCCCCCACCTTCCAATCTCTACACCCACTTCTCACAAGAACACCGCTCCACACGATCATAGATAGGAGCAGCAGCAGCTAATCATCCCTCTCACCTCCTGCATCACCGCCTCCGTAATCCGATAACGTCGACGACCAGTCCTCCCAGATGCTGACCGGAATCCGCCACCAAAGAAATTAACCACGCGCAAGTAAAATGAAGAGACCGATCAAACCCTAATAAACAAAGAAAGGAAAGACCGAGAGAGGGAGACGGAGTAGCTCATCCGGTGTGTCCTCCGGATTTTATTTATAGGTGAACGGTGTCAGCCGAGCAAAAAACCACAGTGGCATATTTGGTAATATTTTGAAATATGACGCACATTTCGGGGTACCCTTCGCTCTAAAAATTGTAAGAAGTCCCCATACGGAATTTCGGTCATCTAAAGATTCAGATAAGCTTTAATTAGAATTCAATTCAAATTACGTAAAATGACTTTTTTTGGACTTTTTTCTAATTTTGAAATTATTTAAAACTTTCGAATAAATATATACAGAATACATGAAACATTGATATTTATAAATTAATCATCCATATGATTTATGCACGTCACAATCAAACTATTGAAATTTGATATAAATGAAAAATACTGGGTAAGATTTTATCATGAATTTTGATATTTGAGCGAGAATTTAATAAAATGAATGAAAGAGGACGATTAATTTGTAAATACCTAATTTCGGGCAGAGTTGTATGTAATTTCTTAAAAGTTGATTAGAAACACCTAGGCATATTAAAATGACTCAATAATTTTGGGGTTAATTATTTATACATTATACTAATCCTAAAGTAAATTTAAAGATTTTTAAAGCTTATCTTGACCCGATTCTTTCCTATTTTGTTTGTATTTATTTATTATTCATTAAATTTGGAATATCACAAATCTTGAATGGACCTGAATTTAATTTCAACGTAATTTGTATTGAATTTGTATATGAGGTAAGCACCAAAGGTGTTATATAGAAAAAAAAATATTTCGTTCAGACACCGCACATCTGGACGGGCAACCATCGGCGGCCACATTGTCTGCCAATGTGGTGTATGACGATGTAGTATCTGGTCGTTGGCCGTCCGGATGTGCGGTGTCTGGGTGGAATATATTCTTGTTAAAGCAAAACGTTGAGGATGAATTGTCGGAATCAATGTCTATAGTTTTTTAGTATTATTTATAAGATTAATCATCTCATATTTAAGGTTTAATGTGGGCATGCTAAGCTTTTTAGTATTATTTAAAGGTTAATGTTTAATGCAAATTAGCCTCAATGATTGAGACTTGTCATAATATATACTTTGGATAAGTTGGAATAAGAAATTACATGTTCTTTAAGTTTGGATATAGTGTTGAAGACCCTTGAGCTTCTAGTAATCTAATTTAACACTTCATTCATCCATATTTATTTTGAAACATGAACTTAAGAAATATATACTATAGTTGCAAGTTTGGAATCATAGCTGCTCTTCTTATTTTGAACATCCAACAAATGTTGACTTTTTATTATAATGTAATGTTTATGTCATTTAAATTTGACTGAATTAAATCATTAATAATTGATGCGTCACAAACAAATTTTCATCATCCAACACGAATCTCGAGACAATCTTTTGAGCGAGAAACACTCAAACTTCAATTAAGAGTCATCCAGGTTTCGATTTGAGCAAATTTATAGTCAAATTGACCGGCTCGATGAGACTGACCCAATGATATCAAAATTAGTCCAATCCGAGTCAAATTAAGCTCAAATCAAGTCATTAAACCGCCTTTGAAACTTTTCTAGACACATTTGGAAGGTCAAATGAATGTTGAATCTAGTGAGTATATAGTCGAATCGAGCGTCTCGACAAGACGAATGCAATGGGCCCAAGATTGCTCAATTCTGACATCGTTAAGGTACTTAAATGTCCATCAAACGTTGTTTGATCGAAGGAAGCTCTTCGGACCGTCTGATCAAAGTAGTTCATGTATCTGCATTAATTGCACCTAAAATACTATAAATAAAGTCCCACCTCTCTCATGAGGAGGGGGATAACTTGAATCCTGAAGAAGAGCTTGAAGTTTTGAGTAGTTGAAATCCAACATCACTCCAGCCTTCGTCGACTGCCGCCGATTACCTCTGATAGACGCCGGCCACTCCTAACCATCCTCGATCATGTCGACCGCCATAGACCACCTTCAACCGACGTTGACCACAATCGAACACCGTTGACCACTGCTGACCGCCATTGATTACTGTCGATTGTCGTCGACCACCACCTGTCGGCCTCCACCTATCGTCATGGACTGCCGCCCACTTCTTACAACAATTTTACTCGTGCAACAACGTTGTAACTTCAAAGAGTGTTAAACCCTTTCCCTCCTGTGGAATACATGTAATATCGAGTTTATAATGGATTTCTTCAGCTACGCTAGGCCCCTTAGTTTTTTTCCCTTTAAGGGTTTCCATGTAAAAATTTCTTGTGTCACTACTAGTTGTTTTCTCTCTTCTAATTAAGTGATGAATCTTCGTACCACACTGAGACGATAATTTTCTATTATATTGCCGCAAATTTTCTAGCGCACATCAGTTTGGTCGTCTGTGGGGAATCGAGCATTTCCATCACTAAAATACTTATAAAAATTATTGCATTGCTACCAGACGCAACACTCGCAACAACAGAACATCTCACTCTAACACCCATAATTCCAAAAGACAGTCAAGGAGCCAAGGTCATCGAGCCTCTACATCCACCTACTTCAGAAGGCCACGCTGACAAAGGTGTCTTAGGTCATTCTCTGGAAGATTGAGTATGTAGGATGGAGGAGTCTCAACATGAGATCCTTTTTCTCCAATGTGGGGAGCAACAACCGCAAACCAATGAACTTACTTACCACCAGTTCAGCATTTAAACAGGAAATAGCCCACTCATCGGGTTCTCTCATAATGATAAAACCATTCCTCTGCTGAGATGAGACAGTGATCTTCTTGACATTACAAATTCCACTCATTCGTCTCATGCAGCTCACCTGGTCGACTCTATTGCTGATATCATCTGAGATGAGCTACAAAGCCTAGTTTAGGAAGAGTTCCCTCTAGATAAAAGGGATTGCTTCCCTGCTCGATGCAGCTTCCAAAAATCATCTACTTTGGCTGACACGGTTCTCCAACACCCTATCTCAGCAGGTTTCAAACTCCAAAACATTGATGCCTATGAAGGGATAACCGACCCACACGAGCACATCGACCACTATCGAGTCATCATACACATTAATCGTGCTTCTGATGCACTTCTCTATCAAGTGTTCCAGCAACTCTCAAGGGTCAAACTTGCACATAGTTTTACTCTCTCCTCGGGGGCATCATCAACATTTTTAATAAGCTTGTCAGATTATTCATAGAGTAGTTGTCGGCACTATTTTTGGTGTGGGGTTT